CAAAGAGTAACAGGTTAAAACTTAAACAGGGGAAGTTTAGATTGGATATAAGAAGGAAGTTCTTTCCTGTTAGGGTGGTGAGGCACTGGAATGGGTTGCCCAGGGAGGTTGTGAATGCTACACTGCCCACGGCAGGGGGGTTGGAACTAGATGATCTTAAGGTCCTTTCCAACCCTAATTATTCTATGATTCTATGATTCTATTCTAAGATTACATAAAACAAAGAAGATGATGCCCCGTTCAGTTGTTTCAGCACAACCCTAAGGAACACTTCAGATCTATTCCCTTGCAGAATGACGGTATGCACATTGCAGAGAATCAGCCAAGAAAGCGGTGTGAATATCATCTGAGGAATACCTCAGACCTGAGAATTAGATAACTCCTACATTACTATTGTGGTCACTAGAGCAGTGCTACACAAGTTTGTTGCAGTACTGCTATCGCTGGCAAATCTCAATTAGCAGATATGAAGTCAGTGTCTTTTATACTGTGTGAGTGAGCTGGGAGGTAAACACTGTCACTCCAGAGTAGATTTCTGCAGTTCCGCATCATTGGTGTGTCAGTCTAACTTGCTACCCAGTGGAGTACAACACTACAAACACGAAAGGATAGTAAATGTCAACAAAGACAAAAATGAAAAATAAAAGTGTCTCTGCTGCTAAATCCATGGCTACAAGGCACTGTGGACACTAGGAATTTACACAGTTTTAAGGGGAGAGTGAACAAGTTCATGGAATAGAAATCCACTGAGGATGCCACAAGCCTGTGACTGCCTTAGCATGTTCAAAATTGTAACAGTTAGAGGTCAGCAATGCATGAGGGAGAGCTATAGTATGCACTTTGCCTTTTCTCATACCCTTTGCTAATTCCTTACTCTCAGCCATGACTGGAAATAGGATTCTGAGTTTGATGGAACTGTGGTCTGGTCCATTATGGCCATTCGCATGGGGCTGTCAAGGCAACACCCCACAGAGCTGCTGGCCTGCAATCTGTCATTTTCTAGCAATTATTTGTTGGTTATACAGATGCTCAGAAATACTCTGATCATTGCTAGCTGCTTAGGTAGGCCAGATGTCAGCATTAGGAAAGAAAAATGCCTTGCATATAAAGGCAGTTGACAATGCAGTAGTGACATTGGTAAAGAAACTTGGCTATCCTGGCAATGTGCAGTCTTGGAAAGGCATGACTGCTGAGCACAGGCCAGGGTAGCCCTGGGGAGATTAATGCAGTGTGTCTGAATGAAGGCAACACCAGACTTCGCACAAAAGCAAATGTCTACAACACAGTTGTCATTACTCCTTTGTATGCCTGAAAAGATGGGACAATTTATAGTTGTCATGGCAAGCGCTCTAGTCAGTTCTTCAAGCAATGCCTCTCAGTTTTGGCTGGTACAGAAGGGCATGAGGAGACTTCCACAACTGAGATCTTGGAGTATTGCCAAACCCTCCTCTGTTCTGCAAGTTCAAAGCCATCTCTGATGGCCCACTCTGACCAGGTAAAGAGTCAAAGGACTCTGAAAAAACACTACCAACCCCTGCTTAGGGCAGACCATTAGCCATGGGTCACAACGCTGACAACCTCGGCTAGGACAGAAGACAATCTTTAACTGGGAGACAGGGTGATGGCTGATAGAGTTAGAAACAGGTTACTAAAACAGATAACACAAAAGGGAGAGAAGCAAGTAAGCAAGAAGATTGTGGAGAAACTAAATGTGAAACCAACCTATTTACTAGGAAAAGGAAGCTTATGCAGCAGCAAGGCTGGTGGAAACAGGGATGTTTCTGGATACATCATTCTGGCACATAAAATGGGATGCAAAAAAAAACCCTCCATGACTAAAGTTTTGAGGCTGCACATGTGAAAGGCATCACCTTACAGAGCAAAGAGGTAAAGCTCCTCTGTTGTGGCTGTACCCAACCCATGGAGCCAGACACTGAATATTGACAAACTGGAGGTAGCTCAGAGAAGAGCAAGAAAAGAATTAAAGATTAATTGAGTTAACTTTGTTGTTTGCATGACTAATAGCCCGTGCTGAGTCCAGTGGAGTTACTGTGCATTCACATCAGAGTGAGTGGGACCAGAGCTTGGGGCTCTCCTCTTTGCATGAACCTTCTATAGTTTCATGTGCAGAAGACATCTGTAGGCCCATTTGGCTGTTCCTACCTGCTCTGGGCCAGTGCTATAGAAACTTTGCTTTGATCACCTAAGTAGGTTTCATTACAGGACACTGTGATTATATATTTCCCTAAAATAGAAGTAATGTGTTAATAAAATAAAGGTTTTCCAGGCGACATTAACTTTTTATAACCCTATACTGCTGATTTTCATTATTAAAATGGAAGTAAAAATCCAGTCTGACAAGAAGATCCACTTCAGGTATGGCAGCCCCAGACTACATCACTAGAAAAGAAAAGCAATTGCAGCATCAACAAATGGTTTTCTGATCTTCAACATGGTCTGTGCTGCTTTCCTCTGCTCTTTCATTACCTCCCGTCAAAGACTGAAGTTTATGACGCTATTCCCTAAACAACCTGGGACGCATAATAACTTGTTATCTCTGTAGGTTCATGTTCCCCCACTACAGTTATTGAGGCTTGGTCTTTCTGACCTGACTTCACATATTTTTCTTGGAAATGGATTTGTTTTCAAGGGGATCACAATTTCAGCCAACTTTTGCATCATTAATCACCTCCTCTTTATTTATTTCTGTTTTAATAAGCCACTAATTTCCCAATCAAGGAACAAGGACAGCTTTGGCTACAAGCCGAACCCAGACACAAAGACAACAGCAGTAGGAAAAGCTACACAAAACCATTTTTGTAAAGAAGGAATAGATAGCATTACAGGTCAGTTAGAAGCTATGAACTACAGGTAACAGATAAAGGAGGCAAAAGATACCAGGAAAATCACTGCTGGCAGCGTGAAAGCCAAAGACAAGTGGTCAAGAAAGAATGTAATAACAGAAATTCTAGCAACTACAGCTGTCTGTTACTAACTGGAGAGTGTAAAGTTGCTGAGAAGAGACAACTCAGAAAAGCAAAACCATTCAGCAAGTAGTTTAGCTCTGGGTTTGGAATACTTATAATGGAGGATAGCAATAGGATAGGATGTTTCACCTTAGAGAGTCTGGTCTGTGTGCACATACAAACTCCCAAACGCTTATGCAAATGTCAGTAGATGATTAGCATGTCCCAAAAACCTGGAAAATACTAGAGGACTGATACATGGGAAATACAAGGTGAGTTTCAAAAAGAAAGAGCATTTTTACCCTGCCAATTTGAAACCAGGGAGCCTGAAACCAGCACAGGCAAAAAACAAATGGAAAAGTTGACAGACAATTCAGCTGAAAGGCAAAGAAAGAATGGAAATCTGAAAATAAAACTAATTCCAGCAAGAAAGTGTTATGGAAAATAGAGTTTGATATGCAAACCTGATATCAGCTGGAGAGATGGCTGGAAAATGTAATGTGAAAAATCTGACTGTAAATGCAAATGTAATCTGAATTTGACTGTATCTAACTGAATACTGAATACAACATCCTACGTGCAAACTGACATAACATATCGATAAAGGAACGTTTTAGGCGAAGCTTGGTTATTTTAGACCTGCAGAAGATGGTAGAGAGGACACACTGATAGAATGGAAAAGAACTAAATATATGACCTTCACTCGACTAGATCAGCAGAGGAACAGGCAGCCATATATGCAGGTGGTTTTCTTGGTACAACACCAAGACCAGTTCTTGTGTGAATAATTCAAATACATACCAAGTTTGGAGAGGGATTTTTTTCTGGGGGGACAGACACAATACAAGAAGTAAAGTGACATACAAAACACTTCTTAGCAATTGGCTTTGAGCTTGCTTGGCTATCAAAATGGATAGAGACAAGTTGATGAGAAGAAATAGAAATACTTCGCTGAGTGAAAACACCACAGGTGAATGGACTCTTTCAGCCAGCAGAGAAAGGCAGAGTTATAGTCTGTGCCTGAAAGGCAGAGCCAGAAGCTGAGAAATAAAGACACATTTTGAATGGACAGGATGATTAATTTTAGGACAAACTACCAGGGGAAGTGCTGAATTCTCATATGACTCAGGTCAGCACAGAGTGGGATCCATCAGTCAGTGGCACACAAGGGATCTGATTAAACCATTTGCAAATCATTTCTGGCATTAAGGACTAAAGAAAAGTAGCAATAAGCCACACCATCTGACCCAAAAACCTGCGGCAGGGAAATGTCTCTGGTCAGCTGCACGTTGCAACCTCACTCTTCCTTGCTCCCACTTGCAGAATAGATTGCTCCCTCATAAAGTGCCCATCTTGGCTACACAGGAGCTTAAGAAACGAACAGAGCTTGCTTTGAATTGGAGAGAAACTCATATACATACCTTACCAGCAGGGAAACACATACTTTACAAGGTAAACCGCACCTAAGACTTTTTTCCTTCCCTCTCTTTTCAAATCAATCAGACCCTGTAAATTTGACTCTGTATGCACCTCTCTTGCTTTCTGTCAAAGAAAAAAAATCAATTCTAGGTGAATATACAATCTCTTCCATTCAGGACTGGCACTGGCAAAGCACAGGATGATGGGAAGTTGATGCTGGCAACATGGAGATGGGCTGCAGCCACTGAAATTCAGCACAATTGTCACAGGCTGACAGAGCTTAGATGTCATCAAGAGCTGGGGAATCTGGGTCCCTCACCCTGCTCTGAGAGGCAGGGTGCAGCAGTCAGGTTATTACAACTCACTCAGCAGCCACCATGGGAACCCTCTGCCTTCCAGGGACACTGGTCCCACCACCACTGCTGTCTTGTCCCTTCTCCTGCCAGAGTTCAAGCCCATGCTCAGCCCTTGGCCTCCTACTCATTGTATCTTTCCACAGCCGCATCTTGGAATAACCTGGTTGTCCGGGTACCACTGAGATGCACAGGTTTTAGATCTCCATTGAGAGACTTCTCTGAGCACAACTCAAAAGCTGAAGAGAGGTTTTAGACTTACTTGAAATTTGGGCTTTGCCAGGTTTGAGCATAGAGACCTTCAGTTTTCCAGTGTGTCAATGCAGTTTCCTGTGCCAGCTTCATATTCACTGGAGGAAATAAATGAGAAAGAACGGGTGAGAGAGATGAACTTTGCAACAAGCCACATAAGTGTGGAGAAGCAGAGAAAGGTAAGTAGAGTTTATTTTATCAGCACTACCCGGGAAGTCTCAGTACAAAAAACTGCTCTCATCCCAGCCAGCATTGCATGTTATTCCTGGCACCTTCATAAATTGGCTTGCAAAAAGCCCCTAGGAGTCCCTTAGCACCTCTCCACCTCCAGCATTTCACTGAACATGAGGGCTGTTCCTGAACTGTCAGGTTGAAGCATCTCTTGGGGAGGTAGCAACACTGCAGCCAGCTTAGACACATTGACTCCAGCTGCTAACTAAGAAAGGCTGGGAAGAGGCTGTGCAAACATGCAGCTTTGTCCCTAGTACTGCCCCAACTGAGTACGTCAAGCCAGTTTAGGTATGCAGATATAGAGACTTTGCACCTTCAATTGCAATGCAGGTCAGTTTAAGGGAAGTATCTTTTGTGCATTGTTTCCCTGGGAGTGACCTATAGCATTCCCATACTAGATGTGACAAAGAACCAGTAATCTTTTCTCTTTCTTTTGTTTCAGCTGTTGTCTTCCCAAAAAGCCCCAGCCCCATACTCCTGCTTTCTGGGCAAAAAAAAAACACATTACATCTTTAAAGCTCAAATTTTTAATAACTTCCAAGTTATCCATCGCCATTGTCTTGGCCAGAAGGGAAACCTGCTCATTTCAGAATGTCCTATATCTGGCTTTTAGGCATGAAAGATGAAATAGGGGGGTCAGACTCGGGCCCATCGTTTTGTGTGGACCCATAGAGGGCACCAGACACTCATTTTTCAGTGCACTGGCCAGGTGCTTCATCTGTCCTCCCCAAAAACTGCAGAGGGCTGGGGACTCCTGGGATGAGGAGTGGGCGCTCCATGGGAATATACAGTTTGAATTCTAATGTGAACTGTTAGAATGATGTTTCAATTTCCTGCCAGTTCCAACTTAAATGTTAAATTAAAATGCTGATTGGAGCTGAAATTTCTTTCTCAAATATCACATGAAATGGGGAAAAAATCAACTAAAACATTTTCTTTTCCATTCCAAGAGTTCAAACAAGAAACAAAACATAATCCGTGACACGAAAAGTCTCTTCACATGGGAAAGTCCAATTTGGAAGCCATCAAAAACAACTGTTCTAACTTCTTTGTCTTCCCCGTCTACATCACGGAATTAAATTAATTTACAGTTTGGTTTCATTGAATCTACAATTTTCACCAAAAGAAGTTCTAAAAGGGTATTTTCTTCCCTTCTAGACTGAATTGTCTCAAATCAGTGCTCTCCAGGGGAAGTGTTACAGTTGCTTCTGTGAAGATCACACTCTGAGAAACCCATTTCACTATTTACCCACCACCAGTGATAAATGGCACGTAAATGAAGGGGAAGAAAACAAACCCACTGCGTGACTCACTGTCATGTGAGCAGTGTGCTTTCTGCCATAACCACTAGTCCTGGTATATTATCACAATGGTTTATGTAATCTGGGAGTGAACTCTAGATATCATCTAACACATCTGCTCCCATCTTCCAGCCCATGTCCTTTTCAGAACTCATTTCCACATCTGACAGGGTCAACAGGAGCTCAGGCAGTCCCACACCAGCACTGTTGCACCCCACGATGCAGGGCATCTGAAGTACCTACCAAGACTGAACTATGACAGAGATTGCTGCATAGGGAATTACCATTGCACAAACATGGATGTAGCTAGTTAAACAGATAGGATCTAGGAAGTCATTCTCAGTAAACTTAAATAAATTTGGGAAAGGGAGGGCAGGAACACCACACTCAGAAGCAAGATTAGGATCAAAATATTGAGGCAGTTCCTCTCTTTTGGTAACTGTCCAAACTAGTATCCTCAATTCCAATCCCTCCAAGTCTCCCCGGGTTTCAAACTGCCTCCTCCTGTGAATCTCTCAGTTCAGGCTTGTCTTAGTTCCAGCAACCTTTACTCCCCCTTGTCTCCCATCTTTCAAATGTCTCTTTGCTTCTTGCAGCACAGAGGATGCAACCTTCACAAATTTGTCATCATCTTTAGCGGAGTTGGATTAAGCCCCAGATTCCTGCAGTAACTGGAATTTGGGTGTCTTTCTAGGACTGAATATTTCTGTACTACTCTCCTATTTCTGTTCCTTAAGAGATTAGATTATTCCTTAAATAATATGTTTCCCAACTGTTTTGTGTGGCAAATCTTCTCTGCTTCCTGCTTTATACAATGGTTTGCATCCTGTGCACGTGGCCTAAGGGATCAGTTGTTCAGCCTCAGGGGGCAGTTAATTCACAGCACTGTAATCTGCACAGAGGCATTTAATCTTTCAGGGAAGATGCACCTGAAAGGAACTTTCTGAGAAGCACAGTGGTTGATAGAAACCACTGAGTAAAGCCAACAGCTTAGCCAGAGGCTGGGAATCTTCTTTCTGCTCTGATCAAGTTTCCCCAGCAATTAAATGCGGAGCCTTCCAACAGAAGTATTTCTTCTAAAGCTGATGAGCTAAGGTCCCTGGGATTCAAGATCCTCTCAGAGGTCCCTGTTGCATCATCTAGCTCATCCCAGGAGAGTGTTTGATTCTGCTCCTGCTTGTGGGTTGAGTCTTTCCTGGCACTGGGCTGACCTTTCCTCAGCCCTCATACCAAAGTTCAGTCTCCATATAATGGATTTGCAAGGCAGAGACTCTCCCTCTTGCACAAACTCCAAATACACAGAGGCCCCAATCTCTGCCTCGGGTTTGGAAGTGCAACTAAGGCTACAGGCCTTTGAAAGCTCTTCGATGAGGTGATCACAGAGTGATGCATCTTTCATTTTGCCACCTTGCTCTGTACCAAGATATTCTCGATGACTTTTTCAGACTCTTCAGGATGTTCAGGCTTTTCCAATAGAGTCACTATCAAACCTTCTGCCAGGGATTTCTCTGGAACTTGGCTGAATTTCCAAAGCTCTCTATTTCTCACTTGGCTTCTTCTACTTCTTTTCCATGTAGGCAGTCCCTACATGTCCCCTTCAATAGCTTAATCTCTTTTTGCTTAAAGGGTTGGCTAAGGACAATGGGAAACAGCACAGGAATCCTACTTTTAAAGCAGTAGTGAACTGGCACTACATCTCCTCTTAGCACCACTTAGGTACCCAGAGAGGAAGTGAGTACAAGGATTTGGACATCACCCTCTCCTGCAGCAGGTACACCCAGAGACAATTTATAGCTATTCAAAACTCAGATTTATGGCTCGGGAGACTTATCCCAATTTAGCTCACTGCAGGGACTCCATGTTGGGAACCACTGTGCTGTGACATCCCTCAAAAGAGATGCCTCTTCCTTCTTCCATCACCGTCCCTGATACCACTCTTTCTGTTTTGGCCTCAATCGAGAGTTTTCACACTTTGCCTCAGCTGCAGATCCTTAAGCATGGAAAGGGAAAGCAGAAAGACTTGCTTTTCTGATTTACCCATCTTCAGCACATGCTTGTCAACCTTGCAGTCCACCACTGCCTTCAAGCCAATGTAACCCAACTGCATCCCTCAGTGCTCTCACACATGCAGCTCCTCTCATGCACTCAGTAGAATGCAACAACCAATGTTACGTCCTTCTCCCATCTTTGCAGCAGAAATGTAGGTCTCTTCAGCTAAGTCATCTCCCTGCTGCCTGCAAAGCCACACCACTGAAACAGTGCCTGGATAAACCAGCTGCATTTACAAGGTCTAATGCTTTCCTTTTGACTTGTCTCACCTACTGAGCAGGTCTGCTAGGTGTGCAGGTGCAGAGACCCCTTCATTTGCAAGAGGTGAGGCTCACAGGGCACCAGCACACATCAAAAGGGCCACATAAAGACACACATTCAGGGCTAATGTTTTCAAACCCAGGGGAAAAACCTATGGACAAAAAAGACATTAAGCAGATAATGAGTTTTAGGTAAATATCTCTTGAGAAAAATGGCTCCCTGGAAGCTTATAGGCTTTTCCTGCCATTAATGAGGTTCCTGCTCTAGGCTGAGAGATTTCTGTAGTGCAATCATATATGGATGTGTTCAGGATAACGGGGCTTGAAATCAACAACTAGTGCTGGACAAGTATGGGATGAGGTCAGTCTTAACAAAACTAAAATCAAATTGCATTTGAAAAGATGTTCAGATCAGATGAAAAGATGTTTTCCACGTATCTGATCTTCTAGGAAAAGCAGAAAGGAAAAGAAATAAAAAGGCAAACCCGACCTAGGAGTTATCAGGTTGAAGCAGGTTATTCAATCACAGTGTCCTACAGATGCATTTCCCCTCCACTCAAATGGGTTTGAAGTTTGGAGTCTCATTAAATACCCGGGAAGATAAGGTCAGCAAGATGGGTATGAGAAAAGCTGCCTTGTCAGACCAGTGTTTTGTGACAAGTCCCACCCGTCTCCAGTCCTAGGTTGCTACCGTGGCTCCCTGAACTTCAGGGAGTGTCTTGGTGCTGCATGAAGTGTCCCCTTCAGTGTCCCTCTCTGCAGCTCCATTCTTAGAGTTGAGGTTTTTTTTCTGTTACATTTTGCACCATTCTCTCATTTATTATATCCATAACTGTTAAGTTTCTCCTCAGTTTATTCTTCTTCAAACCCCTTTTGTAAAATATTGCTCTTAGTTATTTTTAGGGATGGTCTGATGACATTTCTAAGGGGAAGAGAAATGGGAACAGTGAATGTCTTGTGAAAAGAATAAGAGTAGAGAAAATACACAGCAACAATTTGGAAACCCCACAGCCTCCAAGGGCTTCCTGAGCCAGACTTGGATGCTTTGTATTTAATAGCCCTTGATAGACTTTTTTTCCCCATAGACTTCTCCAATCATCCTTGGAACCCCTGTAGGTGTTTAGCAAGCATAACTTTCCCCAGCAATCTTCACTATGAACTGGCTACTGTCAAAATGATCACCTAATGCTCTATTGCACTTCTTAAATGTTTAGCATCACTATAGTAGCTGAATTTCTGGCAGACTTTCTGATAGAT